GTCTAGATCAGTGATGGCGAACCTATGACACGCGTGTCAGAGGTGACACGCAAACTCATTTTTTTGGTTGATTTTTCTTTGTTAAATGGCATTTAAATATATAAAATAAATATCAAAAATATAAGTGTTTTACTATGGTTGCAAAGATCAAAAATTTTCTACATGTGACACGGCACCAGAGTTAAGTTAGGGTTTTTCAAAATGCTGACACGCCGAGCTCAAAAGGTTCGCCATCACTGGCCTAGATGAACAAGGGTATCCCTCCCAGTTGATGCCTAAGACTATAAAATAGGTCAAAATGTAAAATTTAGAAACCTAAAGCAAATGGGCACCTGAGAAGTGAGCCTGAGGGGTCCCACTCTGTTCTAGGAGCAGTGTCAGCTCCTGTCACATTAAACAGGCTGGATTTACCAGCTCTGTAATCTGCCCAAGGACCTCAGCACTGGCCCCTTCCCATGCCCCTTCCACCCAATGGGAATCGGCATTCCTGAGCTCTAAGGCCTACTTAAGGATTTGCAGAACGAGGACTTAATTTTTCTGAATCCTTCATTCTCTAATGTAGTGCTGTTGGGAGATGGACAGGCGAATGGAACATCAGAGTTCCCTGAAAAGAAATGGGTGGGGTGTGTGTGTGTGTGTGTGTGTTATAAAGCTCAAAGTGACTGGTGTGGCCACACAGAGCTCATGGTGAACAGTAACTGCTGATTACCATAAGCCGGTGGCAATAGTCTAGGGAAATTGGAGAGGACTTAAAAAAATTGTTATATTAATTTAAAGATTATATAACTTTGGCCTAAAGGGATATTTATGTAATAATTATATTTCCTTTAAAAAGAAAACTGTAGTGAATAAAATCTCTACTCATTTTATCTTTATGTTTTCAATGAAGATCCTCAATGCCAAAGGTGGTAATTGTGGAAAATTTGTAAATTTTATGTCAATGTGTCATTCAGATAACGGAGAACTTTCTTCGAGGTTATTTAATGGAATTGGGGCCTTTTTATTTAAAATGTGGTCCTCCTGCCCGGCTCAGTGGATCAGCGTTATCCTATGCACTGAGAGGTCACTGGTTTGATTCCCTGTCAGGGCACATGCCCAAGTTTCCTGCTTGATCCCCAGTAGAGGGTGTGCAGAAGGCAGCCAGTTGATGATTCTCTCTAATCAATGTTTCTATCTCTTCCTCTCTCTATAAAATCTATTTTAAAAATATTTAAAAAAAAAAAACAACACAAATTAAATGTGGCATTCCTGTGACATTTTGGAGCTGAATATTGTATGTGAAGTAAAAATGAGTTAAAATCAAAAGATTTTTTTCCATAAATGTTCATTTTAGTAATCACTAAACATGCTTAAAGTTAGCAATTTCCAACCTTTTTCATCTTGGGGCACATGTAAACTATTACAAAAATTCTGTGGTACACATAAAAACATATTTTTGCTGATGTGACAAAAAAAATAGTTATGATTTTGATTCATTCACACCAGACAGCTGTTGTGTTGGCTGTTGTCATTTTCTTATTTGATAACCTAAGGGAAAAGATGTGAGTGCCCCGGACTAAATAGTCAGGTATTGCATGTTTAAAAAATTCTTAAAGCACATCGCAGCTTTAAGTGATTGACTTATATTTCAGGGTGTTTAAGGTAATTTAAAGAGGCATTTTACTACTTATTTACAGATGTGATTAGGCCTTTTTTGGTCTGTGAATTATTATATAATTGATTAAAGTTCACACTGAATGTTCAGTGGAGCAGGAAAGATTTAATGGGAATGGAATGTTGTACCAGTACTAAGTGTTCATGACATCAGCAATTGCAGCAGAAGAGACTGCTGATCAGTGAAGGAGAAAAAGAAGGAATTTTACATGATTTTAATGAATGCCTGGTTTCTGTTTCAAATTAACAATATTCATAACTCAGCAACTGTGTTTTTTTGCATACTTTTAAAGCAAAAATTTACTTTTCATTATGTAATGAACATGCAATGCCAAAATTACCTTGAAATTTATGTAAGAAATGTGTAAGAGTTAATTATAACAAATTAAAAATGAACATTTATTTCAATAAACACTACTCTGCCCTTGCTTTATGCAAAATAAGTAGTCGGAGCTACTAAGGGCTTGGCAATACAACTGCTTTTGAACAGCAATATGACATTAAAGATTAGAAACAGGCAGAAAAACTGAAGTTCTTCCTTATGGAAAAAAGCTCTATGTAAACCCAGTGCTATGAAATGCCAGGTAGGCCCAAAGTCTGGGATTAGTAATCAGACCTTATTTATCAACAGCTATTGGAAGGTTCAGTGGCCATTTTAAAATGTGCAAAATTACTTCAGCATTACAGTATAAACCTGTGCTTCAATCCAGGTGTTTTTCAAACATGGGATATGACAGAAGTTCCTTGAGTTAGAGAGGGTAGGACAATAGGAAGTGGTCGTGAATGTGGCAGTTGGAGGGTGTACACTCCGTTCCGGGACTAATGGGACCAGTTGCTACTTATCTCCATTCAACTTTTGCTCTGTGGGAATTCAAGCACAGTGTTGCCAGATCTTCCCATTTTTCAAGATACAGGTTCTATCTGAAAATTTCTGATTGTTAGACACTATGCAGCCCAAACAAAAGCATACCTACTAAGCTGATTTGGCTCACAGGCCTGACGTTTCCACTCCCTGCTTTCTATGTCTGTCTCAACAACCAGACTCGAGTCCTAAATGGACACTTACAGTTCAGCACAAAACAAAATGAAACACACATATATATATATATACATACATACATATATATATACATATACACACACACACACACACACACACACACACTAGAGGCCCAATGCACGAAAATTTGTGCAGGAGTAGGCCTTCCTTCCCCCAGCTGCCGGCAACGGTTTCCCTCCAGCACCCAGGACACAGGCTGGCTTCCCTCCGGCCCCAGCTTCATCAGGAAGGGCATCGGGAAGGATGTCCGGTCTAATTAGCATATTGCCCTTTTGTTATTATAGAAAGGTTTTTATTGATTTTAGAGAGGAAAGGAGAGGGAGAGAGAAACATTGATGAGACAGAAACATTGATAGGATGTCTCCTGCATGTCTCCCACTAGGGATCGCTGCAACTCAGGCATTGAGCTGGTGACCTCTCGGCAGGATGCTCAACCAACTGAGTCACAATGGCCAGGGCACAAAATAAACTTTTGATTAGAGAATGTGTGCACAGGATCTCTGGTAAAAAAGCTATGTGTTACTTTATTGAGAGACCTTCACTGAATACCCTCCATGTGCCAGAAATAGTATAGTGAACAAGCCACACTGTCTCTGTCCTCAAGGGCAGCCCCAGGAGCTGCCTTTAAGATAAATGAGGTACTTTGTTTTGTGGTGAAATTTGCTTGCCTTATGTGATATAATAACAATAATTCTAAATTCCTTCTTGGATGAATCCTTCGGCAAGATTATTTCTGAGAGTTCTTTAAAAACACTTGTTAAGTTAGTAGCATTTGCTCATGGTGGTATAAACTTCACTACATTTTATAGCTGACTCATTTAGGGACAAAGACAGTGTTTGCAAATGTATGTGCTACAAGGTTGTATCTCAGATGCCTCAAATTTCCAGGAATAACATATTCCAATTAAAGTAATCTGCCCTATTGTGTCAAGTGAATTCGGTTCATGCTCTGATAGTGGTTGGTAGTTACTGCAGACTAGGAGACCAAGGAAACAGATTTAGTTTCCTTAAGAAGAAAGCAGATATAACGATGGCCAGTGGTACAGTCTGTACCAGCCTGGGACTGAGGGAATTCCTGGGAAGTGCGACTTACAATGCTAACATGAGGAAAGTCCCAGGCAAACTAGATCCCATTTCCTCTTTTACTTGGACACAGCCAAATCACATCTCCCAGCCCCTTGAAGTTAGGTTTGACCATGGGCCTCAGTTTTAATCAATGGATTAAGAGCTGAAGTGATCAAACACTTCCAGACTTGGCCCTAAGAAAACTGTTTCTGGATCTGCTGTGCTCCTTCCACTAACACTGACCCAATGGACAAGACTGGTGTCCTTGGAGGTGACAGAGCCTCTGTCATCCTGGGTCCCTGAATGACTCTGGTGTGTCCTCCCCTACTATCCTGGATCCAGCCAGCACAGTCATGAGCAACAGTGTGTCAGTCATTAGGCATTTTAGAATCTGCTTGCTTCAGTGGCTAACCTGAACTCATGAAAATTAATACTCTGAAGTGGAGCGCTGCTGTAAAAAAAACCCTAAAATGTGTGGCCTTGACTATGGGGTAGTGAGTGGTGATGAAACTATTGGAGGCTCAAGAGGTTGGGATCCATATTGTGAATTGGCAAAACTTTCCTGTGATAACTTAAAACGGTGCCTATGTGCTAGTGAGCATGTAGCTCTGAGGATCCAGAAAGTTAGTGACCCATGGCTCTTTACTGCATTTGGCAAAGGCTTTCAAGAAAAGAGTGAGATCAGGAGAAAGGAAAGGGAATAAAATGCAGAAATTTGGGCTGTCTAGTATTGGAAACACCTATTGTTTCTAGAGTTTAAAATAAGACTGAAAAAGCAGTAAAGGCCCTTTAAGACTTTTTGGTTAGACAAGGTACTTCACTCCTTCAGCAAAGATGGGATAAAGGGTATGGACTCCCCGTATGTGCCTTTGGTTTCAGACGACTTCTAGGTGCTCACTGTTCAGCTGATGGAGTAGGCAATCAGAGTTCTAAAACAACACATTCATGTCCAGAAAAATATTTTAGGTCTTGCTACTGACACATTGAATTGATGGGATAAAAATAGGGAAGAAGCCTGCTAACTGTGTGAGGGACTTTCATTGCCAAGGAAAACACAAGCCAGGTTTCACCATGTTGTCGAGACCTTCAAAGGACCCCCAGACTCCCAAACTTGCAGGAATTGGAATTAGGTGAAGTGAGTGTCTGAGCTGCGTAGCTCACAAGGAGAACATTCTCCTCAAAACCCACTTCATGTGTGACCATGGAGGAGACTGGACAAAAAAGCCTCCCAGAGGTAGGAGCCTGGAGTCTTAGAGGACAGAGGCAGGGATTTCTTCCCAGAGAGCAGAGTCAGAGTCCAGTCAAGGAACTCCCACTGCCAGGGCAAAGGGGCCTCCTCAATGCCTCACCAACAGGATTTCATAACTATGGAGGGCTGGGGCCTCCGGTGTCCCACATGCCTCCTATGGGCATTTTATCACAGATCATGCCAGGGATCCACCATTGTGACTGTGGAGATAAATTTGTCTTAGCTCCTGACCTTTAGGAGCCACATTCAAACTGGTGCCTCACCTGGAGATCTTGGAATTTGAGTGGGATATAGTAACTGGATGGGACTTTGGGCTGCTGCCTCTGAGGAAAGTGAGGGTGTTCTATGAGGGCAAGAAGATAAAAAAAAATGTATATTTGGATCTAAAGGGAGGGCCATTCCTAAGACTGGTAGTTATTCATTTAAAAATGTCCTCTTTCTGGGTGAACAGACTGCAGTTCCCAGACTCCCTTGCAGCTGCATGAGCCCACATGATTGAATCCTAGCCAAAGGAGCATGGGTACAAATGCTGTTTTGTTATTTCCTGACTCATAAAAACTTCCCATGGGCAATCCTTTCTGCTCTTTCACCTTCAGCCAACTGGTTGGAGACAACTCAACTACCACTTTGTAAATTTCATGTTGGAGATGGCACAGTCTTACCAGCCTGGGTCCCTGAATGATGAAGTGGAGCAGAACCCTTTCTTACCTCCCTACTCCCCAACCCAGAGCTACTTAAAACTGTTATAAGAGAGCAAAGAGAAATTTCAGTTACATTTCAGAGATATGAATTTTAGTCTGTTAACTGGTACACAAACATGGACTACCGGAAGCAATACTACAATATAAAGGAGTTGAGAACCAAGGAGCAGTAGTGGAATTAGATGAGTTAAATACGTCATGGAGGGGTTCTGGGAAGAGGTAAACCTTGAGGTTGACTTTGAAGAAGCTGTAGAACACCTGAGAAAAATAACTTTTTACATAGTTATCAAAAGTAATTGCCTTCCCATGTGATAAGAATGAAATATCTTCCTATGAATTTGAAAAAAATACCTCTATGCAGTGAGAATTGGCCTGCCGAACTTGTAAAGTGTAACTTATTTTGAGAAACACCAATGGCAAGGAGCCAGCTAAGATCAAAGGTCACAATTTCATAATCCTCAGGCCATATCAAGCCTACTGGCCAGAGCTGCCTCTCAGACATGTTTTTACAGTGTTGTTGTTTTTTGAGGGGTTGGGGTGGGCGGTTAGAGATATCCCTTCTGAAACTTGGATATTGTTCCGAGTTCCGACAACCTTGAGTTTATCTATATTCCTTCATGACAATAATCAGCTGATGCTGAGTCTTAGCTGTTGTCCACTGTGGCCTCCAGTCTGACAGAGCCCACCATTCCTGGGATGGCCCCACACTGTTAATCGCTGGCATGTGTCACTAATCCGGTTACCTACCTGGCTTAGGTAGTCATTTGAGGTTGTGTCCCAAAGCCAGACGATATACCTGATTCATAAAGTTTTGTGACAATTCATTTTAAAAATGTTTTTAAAGTTCACATAATTTGGACCCTTAAAGACGAAAACAACTAGAACTTGTTTTATTATCTATTTGGTTTTGTTTTACTTCATAGATCCAAGATGTTGGAAATGACAGACGGAGTTATGCTTTTCCCTCACAGGTATGGAATGGTGGAGTCGGGTCACAGCATGGAGATTTACGCTCTCCTGGGGAAAGGAAAATGGAACCCATGTGTTGTTATTATTATTCCATGTTATTGGGCAGTTAATATGTGCTAATCAATTGAAATGACAGTATCTAATTTTTCCTCACATCAGCCCTGTAAAGAATGTATTATCCCGAATTACAGAAGAAGTAAGTCAGTGTAATGAGCTAAGTGTGATGTAAACCAGTGTGTCTGACACCAGGCTTTGTGCTTTTAGCCACCATTTCAACCACTTCCAAAGCCAGGCAGCCCCATCCTGGGGAGCATGCCTGGGGCCCATGGCTGCCCCAGTGCTGGCCTTCTGTCCATTCCTCAGTGTGTGTCCCAAAGAGGGCTGCATGGGGCAGTGCAAGTCAGGGCTGGCACATGAATCCCGTCTCCGCTATTGAACAGTGATAGACAACACTCGGCCCTGAACTCTTCCCAGTCTGCCAAGCTGCTTGGCCAGCAGAACCAGGGACTTCTGTGTCCTTGTAAGGGGATTTTGCACCACAAAGGGAAGAGTAGGTGCCAACTGAGTCAGAGACTCTACAGGTGAAAATACATGGCACAAAGGCACGTGGCCCTTCTCCCTGTCGGGCATGGCATCAGACAGAGCCACTGTGTAGATGAGACAGCTGCCTTTCCCAGCCTAATACCATAGCCACGTGACCCAGAAAACCCAGCACTGGAGGATGAAATATTCCTATGGAGGATGTTACTATTCATTCACTCACAGAATCCACCACACTAATTAAGCACCCACCATATGCCAAGCTTAGGGACTCCTCCCCCCCCCTACCCCCCATCCCTCCCCCGCCCCATGCTGTGGGTACAGCAATGAAAACACTTCTACTTTTGAGGTGCCCCAGTCCAGAGGCATGGATATATTAAGAATTATTATAATGTAAAATATATTTCCCTCAATATCATGGAACAAAGTGGAGGGAAGAATTAATTCTGCCTGGGAGGTGGGTAACAAGACACAGCTTCAGAAAGGAGGCTTTGCTCTTGTTCTAATTTTGTTTTGAGAAGAGGTGTTGGAATATCATCTGCTGTTGGCTGCTGAGTGTTCATCCTCCTTTCTTTGGGAACCCCCTGTGTGACTACATAAATGATCTGCTTGACATCCACCCTTTCCTGGCCATGGTGACCCAACCTGGTGCAGTCAGAGTCAACTTTAGCCCACAAAAGACTCAGAATCTTGTCCCTATCTCTCTCTCTCTGCTGGATTCAGTTTGAAAATGAGCTGCTAATAGTGCTGCAGCCATGAGCAAAGAGCTGGGGCTCCTGCAGGAACCATGATGTAGATTCAGAAGATGGAGGAAGCTTAATGAAAACTGGGCTGAGAGGTTAATCTTTGCAACGCATTTGAGCCCTCAGTCATCCAGTCTGAAGCTACACTGACCCCTGGGCATTGTTCTTTTCTCTGAAGCTGGTTTCAGTTAGGTTTTCTGTGGCTTGCAAACTAGAGGAGCCCTAACTAATACAGGTCCTTTCTCTGTTTCCCTGCCAACAGATTAGGATTATGTTCAATTTCTCTTCCCCCTCTCCTCCGCCTGCCCCAGGAATAATTATTGTTGCAGACTTTCAATTCTCAAAGTTCCATAGGAGAGATAAGTCAGTTGTGAGATAAAGAACTAGAGGCCCCTTCCCATTGTTTCAAATTGAGCCTATTAGCGTGTGAAAAGGCTTACTAATACCATAGGTGAGGTCGTGTTCTTTAGCGTACTTAACTGGTCCTTGTGCTTGAGACCATTCTGTGAAATGACCAGCAGTAATTTACATGGAGGTAGCTGTCAACTCTCTCCGGGGGGGTCATAGAAGGCTCCCCCAGAAAGTGATGCTTGAGCTGGGCCTTCTAGGATGAGATGGAGATTACCACGAGGGAGAAGAGGGGAGAGGGGAGGAGTGTTGGCGGCATCTTGTGAACAGGCAGAGGAATGGAAACTATGCTGGCTTCCTCCAACTGTAGTGTTGGCTGATGGGGTCTGAGCGGGGAAGCAGAGCTCAGGCCTGTAGGCCTTGTAATCACACTGAGGAGCTGTAAGGATGAAACATGAGTCCATTTATAAAGATTTAAAGTGGAATGAGATTGTATGCAGAGAAGTCCGTTATTGAACTGCGGAAAGAGGTCAGGTGCAAGGGAAGAATCTAAGAAACTCGCCAGGAAGTAATGTGTCGGGGGTGGGGCGTGGGGAAGGGTGTGGGGTCCTTCCAGCTCAGGCGATTGGTGGGTGATGGTGCCATCACCAGGACTGGAACAGAAAGGTAAACCAGCCTGGGAGCTTGGGCATTTGGAATGGGTAGAACGAGGAGCCATCGGATAGGTCAGTGATGGCGAACCTTTGACACGCGTGTCAGAGGTGACACGCGAACTCATTTTTTTGGTTGATTTTTCTTTGTTAAATGGCATTTAAATATATAAAATAAATATCAAAAATATAAGTCTTTGTTTTACTATGGTTGCAAATATCAAAAAATTTCTATATGTGACACGGCACCAGAGTTAAGTTAGGGTTTTTCAAAATGCTGACACACCGAGCTCAAAAGGTTCGCCATCACTGGGATAGGTATCTAAGAAAAGGTTTCTTCTCGCCATTTTGACGGATAGCTCTGGGCCCGTGAGAGAGACCTGGGTGAGTCAGCAGAGAGTTGGTGCTAAATGGTTCAGTGTTCTTCTCCTGCGCACATCCAGGCTACCTTTCTCATCCATGCTGGCCATAACATACAGCCATGGAAGGACTGTCCATGGGCCCTAAGGAACTTGGCACAGTCTGGGCATCCCACGCTAAGTGGGAGGACTGAGGGTGTGGGAGCACAGAGCTAGGCTGCAGGAGCCAGGCCCTCTGAGTGGCTGTGTGAATCAGGGCTCCTGCTCCCCAGACTGCCTGCCAACTCAGAATGAGCTATGAAAAGAATAAAAAGTTAACTTGACCTGCGAGGCCCCAGACATTTTGGGGAGGAGGGATGTTAGCCTGCCCTGATTAACACAGCTGGAGTGAGTGAGCTTAGAGTCATTTCTGTGAGTGGAGGTGAGCCGGGGGGCGATGTGCTGCTCAGGAAAAGTCTAGTCCAGGAAGAAAGGTGGAGGATGGAGCCTGAGAAAACCCAGCTGAAGGAGGAGCTGAAGAAGAACCACCTGCAGAGGAGGTGAGGGAGGCAGGTGAGCCCCGGGAGGCAGGGACATTTAGGAAGAGTGTGGGTGACATTATAATGTGCTAGAGAGATGTCAGGACAGAGAGACAACAGAAAAGTGTTCACAGAGGTTGTCAAGTAAAGAAGGTGATATGCTCAGGTGGGCTGGAGCAGAAAGGTGCTGTGAGGGGCCTGAATGATGAAAGGGGGTCAAGGGGAGCTAATGAGTGGAGTCAGCAGTCTAAGGAACTTGTCTAGAAGAGAAAGAAGAGAGGTAGAGAAACAACTAAACAGAAGGTCAAGGGGAAAATGTAAAACAGGATTATGTGCACATGTTTATCAATCATAGGTAATGACTTACACTCTCTGAGGAAGCAAGAAGAAATTGGACCCACAACAGAGGTGGCAGAATCGGGCCTCTCAGAGAAAGGACAAGAAAGTGAAGGTGGATGCAAATACGGATCAATTGCAGGTGGTGGTGGTGGTGGGGTGGAGGGTCTGAACATCTCCCTCCTATTAATCTAACTTGTCCTCTGTAATTTAGAAAGTGGGGATCTGCCCAGAAAGCTCAGATGGCAAAGTTTGGAAGTTTGAGAAAAGCACTGAAGATAGAATAACAAAGAGGACTGGTGGATGGAAATGATTAAAGGCAAGGACTTTTGATTCTCACAGCAAATCCAAGCCCTGCACGTCCTTGCAATCTCTGTAGAAGCCCTGCCCCTCAGTCACCAGGCTCCAGGACTGGGGTCTGGGGCTGTGCAGAAGACAGGATGGACTCAGATGCAACTGGATATCATGGAGGCAGTAACAAGATAGTCCACATGGTAGAAAATGCAGGCCTGGATTTGAGCAGTGGTTTAAGGGAAAGGGGAGGTGGGACTGGGATTTAAAGACATAAATGCTGTAGAATTGAGAGGACTACATGACCAACTAGATATGAGAGTTAGGACATTGGTCCTGGATGGGTGCCTGGGACAGACAGTGTGTCTGTAGGAGGGTCTATCGCAGCAGTACTGACACCTACAAAGGTACACAACAGTCACACATTACACATTTTGTGGGGCTGGGAGTGTCCTACACAGCCTCTTGGGTCTTCCTCCTCCCTCCTTTTACAGAGGAGACACTGAGTCCCAGGGGTGTGAAGTCACTTACCCATGATCGCAGAGTTAGTGTCCAAGACAGCCCTGGAACCAAATGACTGGAAGGGAAAGAGAAGAGTTGGAGAGAGACGGGGAGAAGAAGAGAGAAGGGGCATGCATTCATTCATCCCTCCACTCACTTCTTCATTCGGCAAGTAGGTATTGCCTTTTAGGTTCTGGGACCTGCTTTTAGGGAACTTCTAGCCAGGGAGGGGCCATAGACGGCCTTTGGGAAAAGTGTGCAGGATTCGTGGGACCCCCAGGAGGAAAGAGTCATTTCTGTGTGGTGCTGGAGTGGGTGGATGCGAGTGCCAGGAAAAGCGTCCAACTTGACCAAGGAAGCACCTTGACCGAGTGTTAAAAGATGAGGTGGACCAAGTGGAAAAGGACAGCTCATCAGAGGGAGTGAGAGCCAGGCCAGAAAGCAAGCTGTCTGAGGTAGCCCTCAGGTTGAAGAGTGAGGGAGTGTGTCCCCTTGGAAACCCTGTTTGACTGGTGGGGGAACATAGTGGGAAACTTCAAAGAGAGGTGTTGCTGTAGCGTGGGGGATGGCTTTGCCCCTTGCAGGCCTGGTCAGTGCACATCAGCCAGCGGGAGGGAAGAAAGTTGTCTCGGAAAACTGGAGGGGGCAGAGCACAAAGCCAGAACCAGGGCTCCAGGATCAGCTCCACTGCACCCAAACCGCCAGATACCACACTGGGCACTTGGACCCTGGAGGCGAGTCAGATTAATAAATAACACAAATAAAAAGTGGCCGCGCTAAAACCCATGAGCAAGAGTGTTGAGAGAGGGGGTAATTCCATCCAGCTGGGAAGGAGGCGCAGAGGGAGGATCCTGAGGAAGAAGCAGGATGTCGATAGAGTTGATGGGAGTCATAGAGAAATAAAAGACTTACCGGGGAACCATGAATTATTCTGACAGCATTTCTGCCTTAGGGAGGAGCGTCCGTGGGTTTCACAGAAGCAGCGCTGGGCCCTGTGTTTTCTCTGAGCCCGGCTCCTTGGGTCTGCCTACCTCATCCTCTCACCTGCCGGGTCAGCAGTTCTCTTACTGGGGCTGTCTTGGCTTCATTTCCACAGTTTGTGTGGCTCTCTGTAGATGTTAAATAAATGTCCGTTGAATGATTAAAAATGGCGATGAGAAAATATTTGGAAGGGCCTCAATCCTCCCACCACTAGGGAAAATCTGGGATTTTAAAACAGAAAGTTTGGTTTGCCCACAGGGCTTCCTTCTCCAGGTTCTGCATCTTTTCTTGTGTCTTCTGATGTTTTTGTGAATCCGTCTGAAGTTTGGTGAACCAGTCCCAGAACAAGGCGTGTGTATGTCTTTGTCAAGTAGTAGATTCTTTTATTTTAGAACAAAGTTTTAAATATTATAATAAAATATGCAGGATCATAAAGAAAACCTTTATATTAAAATACAGTTTCAGAATAGTAAAAAAATAAATTAGTGGTATGGTAATAGAGAACGCTTATTTTTAACATATTAACATACAAGATCTAGTAGTAGGCCTCATTAATTGCTGTAATTTCGAAGTAATAATGAGCTTAATGACATTTTGAAATAACTGCAACATCTGTAATAGATATGAAATATCTATGATTTCTACTGGTAATTAAGTCACAGGAACTGCTAACACTACTATGGTTTGTTGTCTGCATTTATTACCAAAGGAAATGCTAAATGACAATTAGAGGTTAGTGAAGCAAACATGCATTACTCCTCCACCACCACCCCCAACCCCCCATCCAAGCTTATGCAGCCAAGGAATTCTCTCCCTGGCCACCACTGCTCAGCGTCTTCATCTGCTGTTACTATAAAGGCTGTGGTCGCTGGCGTGGGGCACCCCTGGGAATGGGCATCTGCCATAAACTGCCTCAGGGAGCTCGAGCAGGGAAGTGCTGGTGTTTGGGAATAATTTTGATCCTGTGGATGTAGGAGGAAATGGTTTGTCACCAGGAGAACCCCAGACTCAAAAGCTTTAACAGTTTGAATCGGCTGTTGGGAAAAAGTGTGTAGGACATGAAGGAGTGGGCTCCTGGTTTTAAGTATGCCTCAACTTTGAATTTTCTCCTTTTCACCTTAGTGACCAAGAATTCAGGGAGCTGCATTAGTACCTTTAAGTTCATAGAAGTTAGCTGAAGGTGTTTGTTTGTTTATTAGTTTGTTTGTTTTTTAGGCTGTGTATCAAATTGGAAATGATGAAAAAGTCGATGAGAGTGGGTAGAAACAGCCTCATTCTGCGTGCGGGTCAACATTTCTGCAGGGCAGTTTGGTTCTATGGACTCAAATCCCTAAGTGTGCGCATACCCTTTGGTCCGGCCATCCCATTGCTAAGTTATTTTTTTCTTAAGAAAATAACTATATGCTTCTTATAAAGATACATGTACAAAATGTTTATTGGTGTTTTAAACAATAGTAAAACAAGAATGAATCAAACAAACAAAAACCAGAAAAAAGATCACTTACAATAAATTGCAAGAGGGCAAAACCAAACATAGCCAGATCCAAAATAGTATCCTTGTTGGATGCAATTGGGAAAGCTAAGGCACACACTGGTGGAAAACGCTAGAAGCACTTACATGAATGGTAGCAGTGGTCCCCTTGGCAAGGCAGGGCTACCCACAGCCTTGTTTTCTCCTCCTGCTCTTCTAGGTTTTCTGAAGTTCCTGCAGGAGCTTAGATACATTATTTCCCTGGACATGTAGAGGACATTTGTGTGGACAGAGGACCGCTGCATGAGTTTCAAATATGATTTCTCTACGAATTTACAGCTCAATTCAAATGTGTCTCTTAATCTCTTAACAGTGTGAATTCAATGAGGCAATTTAAGAAAACAAGACAAAACAAAAACACAAAGAAAACCCAAAGTTCCCCAAAGAAGTGTCTGAAGCATTTGCAGTGTAACCATCCAAAGCCAGACTCTCTGGGGGGCGTGGCATCAGGACCCTCCTGCAGGCTACTCTCCCCACTCACAGCGTGGACCTGGTGGTGAGACGTGGTCACGCCAGTTTCTGCCACTTCCAAGCGAATGTGTCCAAGCAAACGAGTGGGCTGGCACCGGGCATGGGAGTGTGAGTGTCTCACAGGTCAGGGACCACTGGGCCCCGGGGACCTCGCCTCACTCCTGGACGCTCACTTCCTCCTCTCACCTACAAGGAGCACACACTCTTCTTGCTAAAACACAGCCTTCTGGAACCGCTAACTTCAAATGTCTGAAAGCTCTGATGCTTTGGCTTTACAAACCTTATCTCACAGGGATTGACTGCATATCTATTGAAACAAATATTTATAGAACGTTTGGGCCTTTGCTCCACAAATATTTACTGAGTGCTCACGTCACAGACAGCAAACATTCTGGCCTCCCTGCAGGACCCTGGGGCCCCTCCATCCACCATCCATCAGCAGATTCCAAACATTCTTCCCAGTTTGGTTAAGGGAGGCCCTGGGGGTGAGGATGTAGAGCCGGGGAGGAGGTTTCCGGTCCTGAGCTGGGTGAGGGCCTTGCTGGGGAGGCAGGAGAAGCAGAACTTTGATGATGGTGAAGTTGGGCTGGGATGTCCTGGGTGCAGCCGCCAGGAGCCCACGAAGAGGCAGAAGCGGACTGGTTATGTGCTGACGTGATCACAGGGCTTTATGCATTCCTTCCTTCCTCCCCTCCACCCTCTACCTACATCTAAAGAGATCTTCTCGACATAACTGTACAGAGCTATGAGCACCCAATATATAGCTCCTGTCGCCTGCAGAAGGGAGACTGGAAGGAAAGTCATTTCAACCTAGAAACAGTGGTAGGGGAGCATGAATTTAAAGGCAGTCTTGGAGCAAAGAAGGAATGACCAGCATGGCTGGAGGGCAGAGGAAGAGGATCCCAAGGAAGGAAGAGTGGGCGGAAAAGAAGAGATGTTTGATACGAGGCAGCAGGGCCCAGGAGGCAAGCTGATGGCCCCAGAGGAGGCTCGGGAGTATCATGGTCACCCTCGGGCCGCAGAGTTGAGGCCTCAGGAATGTACTCTGATTCCCCTGCAGGAACCCTGTGCTGACGTCTGTGGGGAAAGAGGGGTGAGGGTGGGGGGCTGGGCAGGAGCCATGGCTGTGTGGCACAGGGACCGCTTGGGAAACATGCAGTGGGGGTGGCCCTGGGAGGAGGGAGCAGACCTGAGAAATATCTAGGAATAAAATGGACAGGGAGCAGGTGGTAGGTAAGGAAACCGAGGGAGTGAGGTCCAGCGGTTCCTGGTGCTTTGCCTGGCAGCCTGCACGGTGAGGCAGGAAGCGGAGTTGTTTAGAGTTGGTGTTGGGACGGCCTGATGAGGAGCCCCGTAGGCAGTTGTTTGCTGGGATTGGGAGCTCGGGAGAGAGGACCCTGGGCCAGAGCTGAGCGTTACAGACAGACCCATCCCGGTAAAGGGGCCAGTGACCAGTGCACTACATGGGCCCGTGGACTGGTTGTTTTATCTCTCAGGCCCTCAGTTTCCTCCTCTGTGTTGTGTGGATTGTGGTGGCGGTGGTGGTGGTGAGAATTAAATGAGATAAGCTATGTGTTGTGCTTAGAACAATGCCTGGTGCATTGAAGTGCCCCAAGAGTGTTAGCTACTCTATGATTGTTTGGGACCCCTTGGGTTCTGAGTGGTGGCTGAAGCCTTATGAATGGATGGGACGGCCCAGGGAGAGTTGTGTGTGAGCAGGGAGAAGCCCAGGACAGCTGTGACCCTGAGCAAGCAAGGAGGCTTTCTCACTCAGCTTTTGAGACTCTAAAGCAGAATGGTGGCTAGAATAAATCCCAGGGCTGTGGTTTCAAATCTTTTAAAAATAAATTATCAACAGACCTTCTACATCAGTGATGGCGAACCTTTTAAGCTTGGCGTGTCAGCATTTTAAAAAACCCTAACTTAACTCTGGTGTCGTGTCACATATAGAAATTTTTTGATATTTGCAACCATAGTAAAACAAAGACTTATATTTTTGATATTTATTTTATATATTTAAATGCCATTTAACAAAGAAAAATCAACCAAAAAAATGAGTTCACGTGTCACCTCTGACACGTGTGTCAGAGGTTCGCCATCACTGTCCTACATGCTGCAAACAACTTAGTTTTATGAGCAAGTCAAATTAAACATTTACTCTTTATGTTTCTAAATGAACAGAGTGACACTGTCAATACCACACAGGACATTTCTAAGGTCCCTGGGAACTGCCGTTGAGTTGACACTTGAGGTTAACCTGCTGTGTGACCTTGGGGAGCCGCCACTCTCTCTGAGCCCGAGTTAATGCACAGTAAAATGAGTCGGTCAGGTCAGAATCGTCGCTCAGGTTTCTCCCAGTCCTAAAAGTCTAGTTCTAAAGGCAGCTGCTAGGTGTTAGTTACTTGATGAACTTGGAAGTTCAACGACGAATCTTCATTAAAAACATGTGTCTGTAGAGGGCAGAGGACAGGATTTGCCCACCTGATACCAAAGCAGGTGGCAGAGGACAGTGTGATGAAGCAGAAAGTGCTCAGGTCTGGGCATCCCACAGCCCCAGCAGGAAGAGCCAGTCAGTCGGCCAGCAGCTGGCTGGGGCCCCCTGTGTGAGAGCCACTGTGCGTGAGGTGGGCATCCGCCCACGACCCCGCAGACATGGTGTCTGCCTCTGTGCACTTGGAATCTGATGGGGAAGGGAGATGTTGAACAAGTCCCATTGATGAATAGAGTGATGCTAAGACCATGGGCAAGTTCCTGAATTTCTTCAAGCTTCTTTATAAAATGAGGACACAAATGTTTAATTTGAGGGGTGTTTGAGAGTAAATGCACTATATGGTTTATTTATTTACCTGTGATGGGCTTACAGAGATGCATGGAGTACAACAGAAGTTAATAAATGAGGACATGGGGATAAAGAGATAATATGACGAAGAAAAGGTAAATTAATCTCCAAGTTGCACATGGATGGTTCTGTATACTAGTTGCTAGCAGTGGGCTGCCAATTCAGTTCTGAGCTTCTAAGCTATGAAAGACAGAGGAAATGTGATCAGTCTGATCATATCACTTCTGATTGAAATTTTTTGGTGGCTTCCTATTGCCCTTAGACAAAAGCCAAGCGCCTTCATCTGCCCTACAGCCTTCTCTGCTCCCACCAGCCCTCACATTTTATGTCACAGAGAAGCCAAACTTCTCCCTTTGGGCCAACCATTTCCTGCTTTCTTGTTCTTTCTTTCCCAGCTCAGCTCACCTGCCTCTTTCTCTAGGAAGCTTCCCTAACCCTGAGGCTGGCGATTTTTGGCTCTGCTCCCCCAAAATCCTGTACTTCCTTCCTTGTGGGCTCCAAGCCTATAATTGCTGATCTGTCTTCCTCCCAGTCACGCAGCTCCTTTCCTGGCGCTCTGTTCTTCCCAGAGTGCCTTACA